TTTATTTGTTATTTTTTTTTCATTTTCTGTGCACGCTATGTTGGCGAAAACGAATCTTTTGACTGCAACTAGCAAATTATTTATGAAGAGATATTTGTGTTGTTGTAGAATGACAGATAATTGCATTCTATTGTACATTTCTCTCAGTTTAAGGTTCAGGTTTCTTTAAAATTGTAATGCTTTCAACCCGTCATAGAATTAGCGACAATATGAAGAGGCTCGATGTTTACCGGCATTTTATTAATAAAATTAGCACAGCTTGAACTAATGCAAAGCTCTTATACATCGTACCTTAGTAAAATGTCAATTGGTCTAAGACCAAAGGTCTTCACGAAAGCCAACAAACATGCGATTGGAGTCGATATAAAGTGAAAAGGAGTCAACCTGTGGTTCTGCAGTGCTTGGAACCCATCACGGTAAAAATATTTTCCAATGAAAATTGAAACAGAGCCTCGGAAAGGTGCTTGCTGATGTTCTTGGTAAATTAAAGGCTGACAACAGCGCCGTTCAAGAAGTGCGATGTACGGGATAAAGACAAAAGAAATTTGGTCCTTGTGAAATTTATTACAGCGGTCCTATAAAGAAGCGCGAATTACGTGTTGGTTTTGCGGTGGTACTAGCATTCACTTCGGTACATGAATGTCATGCTAAAATCCGCATCAAATCGAAAATTTCAACATGTTGTCGATATAAAATCGATGAAAAAGTGATGAGCATGGTGAATATCTGGTGAAATGTGGATTTACCGGGTCTAAAGCCACAATGATGAGGTCTGTGGGACCTTATACCATAAGCGACATTTATTACGATGCTGAAAAAAATAATACGAGACGCAGAGACAAGTGAAACGTAAAGCAAATGGAATTATGAGAGCTTTCGAATTCAGAGAGTATTTATCGGCCGTTTTTTTAATTAGGCGCAAGCATTTGGAAACGTCGTATTATACTTATCCAATAGGCGGCTCACTGTACAAATGCAGGTATCCCACAGAGTAGTGTTATATTTCTACGAGGGACAAAGTAAATGTGGCAACAATGTGCTTATCCTTCAAGCTTACGAAATCGCATTTCTTGACATTCAAAGCAACACATTTCCGTCAAAAAGTTCAGCTGAAGGTTAATATTTCTAGTTTGTATTGGCTTTTAAGCAAGAAATCTGGGCTCAGCCTTGAAAACAAAGTCCCTCTTTATAATGCGACTATAAAATCGATATGGATGTATGGAACTCAGTTATGTTAGACACCCCCCATCCCAGAAGAGACTGAAATCATTACACGAAAATTCGTAGTCAAATTGCACAATTATTCGGACCCTTTGCCTAATCACCTTGGCCTCGGCAACAAATCAAACACGCCCGGTTTTAAAATATTATATATAAATAAATACTAAAGAAAAATATGCAGAGACAAAGCATAATATTTTCCAAGAGTGTAAAACTGCGGGCGTATGCCGATGACATTGATATAGTTCAGCCAAAGGAGGAAGCACAACGTTAGAAAGATCAGCTGGGCAGCGACCTGATTCCACTTGGTATTTCCAACTGTCAGCGAACAGCAAATAGCGGATATTTGGCTATAATCGATAGATGTGCCAAAGCTAGTGAACAAGAAGAAGAATAGTTACTTCTGGCCGCCACATCAAATAGATAAACAGCGCGTACTATTGTCACGACCATTATGATCTCTTTCTCCTTTTCTTGAGAGCCTTTACCAACTAAACGAGATAGAAATAGAGTAAAAAAAGAGTAGTTTTATTGTCCACCTGATAGTGCCAAAAAAAGTGGTGGAAACCGGATTCAATTGATGTCAATTTATAATGTGAAACAATTTATACGAAATGCGTCTCAGAGCTGTGCAATTAGAAGAAACCATGAATGATAGGATCTCAGAAAGCTTACTAAAGTCCCAAACCAAAGCATGGCTACTTTGATACAACGGAATACAACCACCAACCCTGGAAGAGCTGGACCTGTCTCTGCGCACTCGAATAATACTAGTATAATTAAGATTTTGATTTGTACCCAATTCCCAGTTATCCTGACTCGATCCCGATGTACTTAGTACTACTTTGCGTACCCAATGAGACTCACTCATCTAACACCCCTCTTCTGAAACAGTCGAAAAAGTTCTATACATTCCCCCGACTTGGATTCTAAAAATATTTTTATGCACTTTAAATAAATAAAATTACATACATATGTATGTGTACTCGCATATATATATTTACCATGGATTCTGCATTTTTGCTCATTTCGCATTTACCTTCACAGAACAGCCCTTGTGTATGTGTGAGTGATGATAATTTCATTGAAATTTGAGATTGCAGCTTTATACGCCATATAATGATGCGTTGTTAAGGCGTGCACAACAACAAACCCAGCAAAGAGATCAAATGCAATAGCAGTAGATGCGGAGAAAGTAAGAACAATAGCCGTTGGCGAACATATGGAACACATACATACAACAAAAGCAACAACAATAACAATAGCTCGTTGCTCAGGCACTGCCAGGACACAGACAAGGCAAGTAAGCAATGAAATGAAAAGTAGGGAGAGCAATATAATTCAGCAATGCCGAGATTTTTGCAATGGAAAATGGCTCTACTTTATGTAGAAGAACAGTAAATAATTGTCAGCCAGCTGTACGCATGAGTGTTAGTAAATAGCACTTGCGGGTTTGTCGTTGCTCGGCAGTTAAAAGGTCTGTCTGTCAGTTCGCTCCTGGATTTTTTGATTTTCATGTTTGTTGTTCAAGTGGCAGTTAATGCGTTTGCTATCCTTAAAATAATCACAAACACAGCAGGAATGCATACACACAAACGCTAGTATGTACATATGTATTCATGTGCGGGTTCTCTTGGCAATCACTGCTGCCGCGGGTCACATACATACATACATTCGTCCATCATAACAAACAGCCCGCATGAGGTACCTACATATGTAAATATGTGTATGAAAAATCGGCTAAAATGAGCAAGAATGAAAAGCGGACAAAAGAAATCCAACAACAAAAAGTGAGTAATATTAGCGTTCTTTCAATTCGTAAAGGAATCAATGGAATTTTTATTTTTGGTTATACTATGTTCAGCAATATATTGAGTTTGTTCAACAAATTATCTGCAAGAGCCCGAATTAATAAAATGTAGATCTATAAGCGGAGAGCATCAAAATGGTTCAGTCCTTACTTTCTCTCGAGACATGTCCTGCAATAAGTGTGATTTAAAGTCGACGAGAAAAGAAGATTTTGTTGTTTATTATACCTGTAGTACCCTCGGCATGGGTCCTGGGATTCCATCCTTCTTCCGAAATCCTTCGATTTTCTTCACTAGATTGTGAAATAAAAGTTATAAAATATGTTATGCAGCTTCCTTAAATATTTATACAATCTACTAACTCTCCTTAAAAACACAGTTTATTCCCATGTATACATACAGTATGCTCAATTTACACCATCGTTATCACTACCGAGTTCTATACTCAACTGAACATGCTAGCAGTGCTCACTGCTACCAATGGCGAGTGCATGCAGCTCTAGAATGTTCTCGATAACAAACATTCGTTGCACGCGCTATGGAATAAGCGTATTTGCTTTTTCGTCAAAATAGTGTAGTTGTATCTTTAGTTGCAGAAACCATCGAATGCATTCTTAAGTGTTTAAATATAGCGGTAAAGACTTTCCAATTGTTGTTAGCATTAAATCTTTAAGATTAAGTACTTGTTATTGGCTTACAATCATACAATCTACATTTATTTACATCACTTGTGACTTCACCTGAACATACACCACCTTACTTGTTATGTTTCTCATGAATATACAAACACATATATATATTATATATATATGTATAGATGTTTTTACTTTTCACCATTTTATTTGGCATCGTTGCGCAATTATTTACTTATTTCCCTCCATCTTTTCAGTCTTTGCCCGCACCCTGCTGCTTTTTGGTCCGTGCAATAGCACGCCCTCATTGCTTCTGTTGAAAGTCGCAAATTTGCAACTTACAGCAGCAATAAAGTAATCGCTCATTTGCTTATTTTAGTCTTTTGGCTGCCATTCAAGCTGTGCGCCGTTCCATTCTCTAATTAAAACGATTTCAACATTTGCGGTAGCATTTAGTGGTTTTTTTTTGGCGGTGTACTGCCTGTAGAGCCTCATGAACATATGTTCGTATATAGCATAGAGGGGCACCGGTGCATCGGAACTACCAGTACATAGTCTACATACACGAATAAGGAAAGATTATTTCCAACGAAGAACGATGGGTTTTACATGTTTTCTCTTCTGCTAGTATAAACTGGGACCTCCCTCCATTTATTGGGATCCGAAAAACGCTTCAGCGGTTACTAAGAGTCAGTTATATTTTGCAAACAAATACTTTTGCAAAAACAACCTCTAAAATGAATATGTATTTTGTATCGTTGGTCATCGAGTGCGCAGCTCATTTTTGCTTGTGTTTTTAACGGTGTTTTATGGGTTTTTTGAATTTTGTGAGTGTTATTGTTGAAGCACTTATAAAAATAAATGTTATTTCGTTGTCACCCGAAATGTTAACGAACGAAATGAAACGAAAATGTTAACTCGTTAACAGATAATGTTAAAATCAAAGTATGCTCTCAATATCAATAACAAACACTCATTTTAAAATTAATGTTAACCAACCACTTCGCGCCGAAACGAAATACAATCATTTCGTTTAATCGTTTCGTTAGTTGAGTACCTCTGGTTCATACATATATGTATATATGCATACATTTATATAACTACGAATGCAAATTTATTTAGGTAAATAAGTTTAGGTAATGATCTTAATCAAATTTTTGCGTTTATTATAAGCAATAAGAACTTTTAAGGAAAGAAAGCAAAAACTTCATGCCCATTCTAAATAAATCTAATACATAAAATAAAACTTTTTCATAATTACTTGAATTAAAATGAAAATATATTCTGAATACGCAACTCTTTTTATTAATATTCTTATTTTTATACCGATTAATGTTAAAAAGAATGTTTGAAAGAATTTACAAAAGGTCCATTTTGGTTTTAGTTGTTATACGCAGTATGTATTTACATCAAATTTTGTCAACTTCAATAATGAAGCGAATGAAAACATAATTGAACACATGTGATGTGATACAAATATACTTAAATATTATATAACTTGTTTGCTGCTGATTTTATGCACTACTTATTATCTCATTGCTTCAAACTCACACTCATTTGGTATGCGCACAGCCACCACAATTTTGGTGGTATTAACATTACATACAACGCAAAAAACTGTCAGCAATACCGGTGCTCATCTCTGGTATGTACTTAAATACACATGCGTACGATTCTTTTCTGGGTAATTATCATTAAAATTCTTCCATAACAACATTTTGTTCTGTGTTTTTCTTTGGTTTTGTTACCTTGACCACCATTTTCATCTACGGCTTGATATAACATTTAAACCGTCGTTGCCACCCATTTAGCAGCTATTTTTTTCGCTATTTAATTCTCCATCTAATTTGAATGGGGAGTTTGGTTATGTGGTACGCTTGTTTTTCTTATTATTGTTTTTGTTTTTATTTCTGGGGTGTGCCACGATTTTAGTACCTCATTATAAATGACTAAAGTGCGTTAATTGTTTGTGGCGGAATTATTTACACGCTGACTTAATGTTATGCCTTTGTTTGCTAATTAATTAATTAAGTTTTTTGTAATGACCACTCATATTTAAACAAGGTGTTTTCTGTGAGAAGGAAAAGACAGAAAGAAACTAATATTTTAATTGCTCAATGATGGTTTTGTGGGTTTCGTGGTTATTTAATGGCTATTTACCTCAAACTCCGTGACTTTAAAATACGCAACATCAGGGGCGGATCCAGCTGGGTAAAATAAAATTAAGATTAAAAATACTGTTACCAAAATGAAATTTGTTTCATGTGAAATATTTTACAGTAAGTGACCAAAAAAGGATAAAGGATGTTAGGTGGGCCAATTGTTATTTAAATTATGAAAACATCCATATTAACTCCTGTTCACATGGAAAACGAAACTTTTTATTGTTCACTGACGCAGAGTCACTAGGAGTTTGTTAAGGGCCCATTACTAAATAAAAGTTGAGAAGCAGAACAAAAATTAATCAGCGTATGATGATGTGAGTAACTTAATTCAAATATATACTGTTGCTGATAATTATTTGGGAATCGTATCTGAAAAAGCGTGCTCAAGAAATTTTTTTCTACAAGTTTTCATAAATAGGTATCGGAAATATCTTTGTCAACACATATTGGGCCGAATGATTGAGTGTAAGAATATTTTTAAACTAATTTTATTTTGCAAACAAATTTTAATACACATCGTAACAAAATAACATCCGGCAATATAAGTAATAATAAGCCCAACGAATACCCTCCACCCGCCCAACCAACACAAGAGGCGTACGGAAAATACAGAGTCATGATTTGGAATCGTTTGTCAAATGTCGAAACTGCTCAGCTGCAGAAAAAAATAATTATTCAACAGCTGAAATTTAATATTAAGCAATTTATAAATTGTTGAGAGAAGTAAGAATAGTTTTTTGACGCTAAAAATGAGTCTGAGAGGTCGGAGGTGGGGGAATTAAAATTAAAATTGTGACACAATCGGCGAAAGGGTTCATTCAGTTCATAATTTGCTTTACATGACTTTAATAGTAAAGGCCTAAACTGCCTCGATACACGAGTTGGGACATTAAAGTTTACCTCAGATAAGAGTCATGAACTACAAAATGATCCGTTAAGAAGTTTCACTACGAGCACTGCGCCAAACATTTCTCTAAAACTTCCGAGAGTAGGTAGATTCCAAAGCTTTAAACGGTTGGTATGGTGAGCAAGATTTATCGTAGAGTTCCAACGGAAATGTCTTAACGTAAAAAGTAAAAATTGTTTTTGAACAGACTCCAATTTATCGGAAGGAACCTGATAATTGGGGTTCCATATCAGTGAACCATATTCCAATTTTGGCCTAACCAAAGTTGTATAAAGTGCTTTGGTTAATTAGATAAGGAAAAGGTTTTACGCTTTTTAAGGTTAAAAGGCATGTCGTTGTTATCGCACGATATAGCTTAATTGTCTAGATCGTTTTGTAACACACGTTTTTCGTCGAATGAGGGGTATGACACAAAAAGTTTTACATCATCGGCATAAAACAAGATATTTTAATGCTTTATTACTGAAGATTTAACATATCATTTATAAATAATAGAAACAGAATCGGGCCCAGATGGGTACCTTGAGGAACTCCTGAAGAGCCATTATTTGATTGAGATAAAGTGTCTTTAAATGTTGCTCGTTGTGTTCTATTGCAGGGATGCGAGGAAACCCACTGAAGAAATATTGGTTGAAAGCCCAGCAATCTAGTTTCTGGGTGAAGATTGAGTGATTAACCATTTCGAATTATTCACGCTTTAAAACCTCAGTTTGCTTTTTATCTCTAACGGCTTTAGAGATATGTGACATAAATTCAAGCAAATTTGTAAGCGCTAATTTTCCTTTATAAAACTCGCGTTGGAAATCGGATAGTAGTGTGTGTGTGTGTATCTACATACATGTACATATTTGCATCTTCCATTCTCTTTTATTTCACTTTAAATAAATATTAAAACTAAAATACATTAGGGAAGACATATTTGCAATTAATTTAAATTAACTTATTAATAACTCACTTCGTGGGTTCGTTGCTTAACACGAATTCTTTGTTGTCGGGTATCGAATACCCTTCGGATTTTAAAACCGTAATATCTTTAAAACAAAATGCACCGGATAAAAGCCATTCACAGTCGAAATGTCGAATTTTCGCTGATCTCAATAGCGAATAAATAGCAAATAAAAATAATTAACGTTCTTTTGTAATATATATTTTTTTGCCAAGATGTTAAATGCAATTTGCATTTGCACAAAAGCTAGTTGTATTTTTATCTCTCTGTAAATTTTTTTTATTACTTTGTTTGCTTTCAAGTGTGGTAATAAGCTCTTTTTTTAACAAATAAATATTTCTTTTTTAATCTAATTAAATAAGTTGAATTGACATTCATGTGCAATAATTTTCGTGGGTACAATATACCAGGCAACAACTGCGAAGTGATTTTTAGAAGCCGCAATGGCGCCTGGTTAAATATAATAGTGAGTGGCTTAATGGGCGTATCCCGTAGCATGTAAGAGCAACTACAGCAACAAATAAGTGAAGGGGACAAATGCAGCCCACCAAATAGTCTGACTCATACCAACGCTTATACCTAAGCACATACATGTAGAGCTAAGCAAATACGTATCTACTATACATATATATACAACATATACGTATGCCTTTAGAAATGCACTCCTTTTATGCTTATGAGTAAGTGGAGTGAATTCAAAATACTCATAGCAGCCTTTCGTAGCACTACAAAGAATTGAGCAGTTTTTGAATTTTTTATGGGAAATTGTGAGTCTTTCAACTCACACTCAACCAATAGACGCAGCTTGAGTGTGAGATATATGTATAAAAGATTGAGTAAGCTATTGGGGTTTCCAGTGAGTTTTAGTCTCGGAGCTTTTCTTCTGATTTTGAATTTGAGTATATTTGTTTTTAAAGTAAAACACAGTTTTGTTAACACTATTTACACATTGCTACTTCGCTTGTTTTGTACACTCACCGGCTGCCCCCTTTTTCCGCATCTAAACCAGTTAATCCTGTTTTGCATAATTTAAAAATTGCCATAAATCAAAATTATCAGTAAACTCATAACTATAATCTGTGTGTATAAATAAGTTTTATAATTTTTTTATGAACTGAAATTTGTATTCGCACTTAATTTGCATTTGTGAACCATATTCAGGGGCGCATTCAGGGGGAGGAGGGCGCAATATAGGAGTTCTGACATGAATCGCTCTCACTTCCATTACATTCGCTATACTGGGCTCCTAACGACTCTTCACAGAACTCGAAGGAACCCCATAAATGCATATACAATTGTAACCGCTAAATCTATTTTCGGCCGCATCATTTAATTTGTGATGCGCGTATTGATGTATTTCCAATAAATAGAGCGAACCACAGTTTTTTTATTCGGTTATGAAGGGTCGATGGGTTTTTAATGAGGAGCTTTTATTTCATGCCAGAAATACACATGGAGAGCTTAACATTCCCTGCCGTGGGGCGACCACTGTTAGAAAAAAAAAATGTCCATAAATTTAGACACGACCGACCACGACACTAACCCTGGCCTTACGAACTTTAGTACTAAATGCTTTCGACTTGGCTATTGTGGTCGTCAACCCTTGCCGGCGAGAAATTTCGCTCGAATGATGAGGTTATCGCTGAAACTGGGACTTATTTTTGGCTTAAAAGATGAATCGCTCTACAAAAGTTGTGACTCTTGATGGCAAACAACAGACTGTGACTTTTCGGTCTATTTTTAAGGTACGCAACAACGACACTAAGAGCCCAATGCGGATCTCAAAGTTCAATTTTCTCAAAAATTGCCTTTTTATTAAAAAATTGTTTCACTACATAAATGTATTGCAAAACGATTACTTTTCAATAACGAAAATTCTTAAACGAAGTTGCCTATTTCAGATATGCAGATTTATAGTCAGTGATCGGAAGTAACGATCGAACGAATTTTCAATTTCGTGCTTCCTAAGTAAAATATAGTTGTTATGAAATATATTCCTCTGGACTATTCACGCCAGTTGTTTTATGGCTCTGATGACTTCTTTAAAAGAAAAAGTCCATTACAATTAAAAAATAATAGCTCCGAATAAAAATAGAGTAAAAAAATCTCGCATACTCTCTCTTGCAGTTTTTTGCGGTTGGCACCTTGAAAAAAAAATACTAATGCAAGTGAAGAGTATGTTAAATAATTTTCGGCAGTCAACGTAGAGCAGAAATAGAATAATTTCTTACCGAGGACCAATTTATTAATATTTATTTTTGTTTAGCATTTTTGCTTTGATCAAAATGCTCAGAACCAGATCAATGAAATGAAATCGGTTCGTTTCGGCGTCGTGTTATGAAAAGAAAATCAAATTGTTAACATTGAAACCGCAGAAACTTATCATTAACATTAATTTTAAAATGGCTGCCTGCTATGATTTAACAGCAGACTTCACTTTTAACGTTTAACATTTTCTGTTATTGGTTTAACATTAACGACGGCTTTTCGTTGCGGGTAAGAACGAAAAAAATTTGATGAGTGCTTAAACGTTAATATTTCCAAATATTTCAACCGAAACGATAGAAATTTTTCGATTGACGTGAAATTAAAATTTAAATTGCGACCCTCCAAAAAGAAGTCTGGACTACGGCCCTGGTGATATGCAGATATTTGCATTTTAGCAGAGATATTGATTTTATGTGTAGTTTTCTATGTAATTAAAAATGCCGACATAGTTTCGACGCAAATATGACTGAGTAACTGACAGGAGTGACAGTTTTATAAGAATATATCAGACATAATTACGGTATTAAATGTAGTGCAACTGTTGTAATAAATATTGATTAGCGATTTAAAAACAAATAACAACAACAAACTGGCAATTGCATACAAATTTGTACTGAATGTATGTACTTGTAAACTCATAGCTGCTTAACGAAAAAAAGATCATTTCGCCTTTAAAACCAAGCATAGCAATCTCTGCTATGATCTCGCATCCGGATACTGCAATTGTTTTGTCTCGTTCTTTTTTCGTTTTGTCACCATTGTTACTGTTTGTCTTTTTGTTTTCGCAAATGTCAATGGTAATTTGAAGAAATCCTTTGGTAATCATTGCTTCTAATCTCTCTTTTGTGTGTTTCTATGCAGGTCTTCACAGCCGTTGCGCATTTTCGCAGGAAGGATGTGCAGATTAGACATAAAATTAGG